GCAGGAGGGGGAGGGGCCGGGCGGGGGGAAGGAGGATAGGCTGAGACCCTCCCCTGTGCCCACCTCAGCATCGCAGCCCACGGTTCCTTTCAAGGTGCACGAATTCGTGCACTGGGCCCCTAGTATTTTAATAAACACTGCCTTTATAGTTATTCAAAGTGTGTGTATACATTTTTGGAGACACCCTGTACATGCAGGTAGATTTGCACTATATTGGTATAAGGGGAAAAAGATATGGAATGATCATACGAAACTATTAATAGTTTTCTTAGATAAGTAAGAGATGACAAAGGGGTTGAGGGGAAAGAGGAACTTTTTCTTGGCCACGTGTGTACTAGTGAAGTTGTTAGAATAAGCATGCTTTACTTTTGCAATAACAGCAGGTAACGGCTGCTTATTTTGTGCTGGGCACTGCTCTAAGTGCTTTGCACTCTTTTTTCAATTGTCACGGTAACCCTCAGAGGAAGATACAATTAGTATCCCCATATTATGGATGAGAAAACTGATGCATACAGAAAAGTAAAGCAAATTATTACCCAAATTTACATAGTACGTGGGGAAGCTGGAATACTTTAGAAGTGTAGAGACATAAATAAATCCATGCTACAATGTGGAGGGAGAGGGGAGGAGTGCCCAGGACAGGAAGCTCACCACCTCTGTTTCTCCTAATCATTGGTGCCACTGTCTCATATCTTGCTAATACTTAAAAGGGGCAACCGTGGGTGGAGCTCAGAGAGAAATCACCTGTAACTGTTTTTGTCTTGTTTGAAGAAAATGAACTAGAAAAAGCACATTTAAGCCTTCAGCTCTCTACCTGCTTTCATCATGAACCACACCTGGCATAGGCAGCGCCTATGAGGTTAAATTCAGCCAGGTGTGCACTTCAGGCCTCTGAACGCCAAAAAAGAGGGTCTCCAAGCTTGGTCCTGGCATTTCTGACTCTATAAACTCTGATTTGGTGGGATATCAGTTTGATGAGGATTTAAATGCTATGAAAGTGATTTACCTGCTTTGGAAGACCTGGGGAAATGGAAAGAAATTTCTGAAGCTGCCTCCACAAATTTCCACCGCCTTCCTTACCAACTCGTGGACTGAGCACTCCTGGAGAAACGTGAGTACCTTAAGCGCTGACTCGCCTTTTCTTTGCGATCTACCTTTGCGTTAGTAACATCAGTGTTTGCTGAACACTGCTTTGGTAGTTTTTATTCCCTTGGCTTGTTACCAATATACACATTATTTACTTCTTATCAATATTAACTGGCATTTCCTAAGTAGTAAAACATGAAGTTGTTTCCCAGAAAATGAGAAAGTCAGGAGATCTATGCCTTGATTTAGCTATAGGCATGCCTATTACCATAAAACAAACAAAAGACACAAACAGGAAGGATATAGTTGTAAGAAATACAACTGCCCTGGTTGGGTAGCTCGTTTAGTTATTGTCATCCCCATATGCCAAACTTGGATCCTGGTCAGGGCACATACAAGAATCAACCAGTGAGTGCATAAATAAGTGGAACAACAGATCGATGTTCTCTCTCTCTCTCTCTCTCTCTCTCTCTCTCTCTCTCAAATAAAGTGTAAAAAAAAAAAAAGAATTCACCCAGAGAGAGGTGATAAAACACATAGACAAAGAGCCAATTTGCCTGATAGGAGAAGCAAGGGACAAAGTTCCACTGGGAAGCCGTCCGCTTTAGGGCTGGCGAGTAGGAAAGGCTTCAGAAGGGGCTGCTGTTGGAACTGAGTCTTGAGGGACAAATTAGATTTTCAACGCCTGTAGTTTCAGATCCATTTCTGCTCGTCTGCAGGCTATTCTGCTGCAGGAGCGACCACATCTAACACCGCTGAGGACCTGCTCTGGTTCATTCGCAGACCTCCTAGGGAGGTCGTCTTCCCTAAACGCCCACCCGATTTACGGGGGTGGGTGGGATAGAAATAGGAGCTCCCCTCGCCCGACGCTGGTCAGGGCTCATCCAGGACCCTAAGGCCTTCACTTCTCCAGTTTTGAGCCCAGAAAGAGAACTCAGGGCCGAGCCCCTCCAGCCTCCAGCCGAGGAACGGGGCAGGCACTCACCAGTCATGGCTCCGGGGTGCGCTGAGTGGCGGGGCTGGTGGCTGGGGCAAGGTCTTAGGAGGCTTGTGGGTGCTGCCAGCCGAGCCGAGGCTGCTTTATATCTGGCCTGGCCCAGCCCCGGCCACACAGCCAAGTACCCAGCAAAGGCGGAGCCGGCCACCGGGGCCCTGGGATGCAGGGCGGAGCTCGCGGAGGCTGCGGTTCCAGGAAGGAAAGGGGAGACTGGGGCCTGGACGGGGGACCTCGGGACCTGGAAGAAGGGTGCCCTCGGGGTGGGGGTGGGGTGAGAGGGGTCTCCTGGGAGGGAGTGGGAGGTGTGCCCATCTGGCCACAGCCCTGCAACCGCCTTGGGACCCAAGGAGGCAGTTCCTGCTGGCGTCCGGGCTAGGTGGGCGGCTCGGGATGGGGCGTCAAAAGGGAGGTGCGCGCGACCGCGGCCCTTTGGTTTTAGATTCGCTGACTCACTGTGACTTGGGGTTTGGGTATTGAGGGCAAAGGCGTACAAATCTGAGACTGCCCGGGATGCTTGCTGCGGAGAAAGCGTTTTCTTCCTTTGCGAGGTCAGGATGCGGCACTTGCAGCTGTGTGTGCCCGCGCCAGTCCCTGCCCCTCATAATCGGGGAACTAATGCCCCCCCCCCCACGAGTTAGTCCAAGGTTGGCGGGGGTGAGAACAGTCACAGTGAAGCATTGAAAGGTTCGCACAACAGTCAAGTTTAGTGGCTTTTGTGTAACTGAACAGAACAGAGTAAAAAGTTTTATCTGCAAAATTCAAATTATAGTAGAGTCTTCATCTTCCAGAACAGAGAGGAAATATACAGAACAGAGAGGAAATATACTGTCAAAAGGTGAAGGAAAACGAAATAGAACTTCAAGGTGTAGCCGTCCGAAAAATTACTAATGATAAATAAGAAATTTCAGCGGGGACAGAGGTAGGGAGTGCGCAGGGTCCTTAGGGAGAGGTACCTGGGGGCAAAAGTTAAGGGAGTGTCAGAAAACTCCGGAATCAGAATAAAGAATCCTTTAATGCAGTGGTTCTCAACCTTCCTAATGCCGCGACCCTTTAATACAGTTCCTCATGTTGTGGTGACCCCCAACCATAAAATTATTTTCGTTGCTACTTCATAACTGTAATTTTGCTACTGTTATGAATCGTAATGTAATCTGATATGCATAACAGGATGTATTTTCATTGTTACAAATTGAACGTTCTCAACCTTCCTAATGCCTCGACCCTTTAATACAGTTCCTCATTTTGTGGTGACCCCCAACCATAAAATTATTTTCGTTGCTACTTCATAACTGTAATTTTGCTACTGTTATGAATCGTAATGTAAATATCTGATATGCAGGATGTATTTTCATTGTTACAAATTGAACATAATTAAAGCATAGTGATTAATCACAAAAACAATATATAATTATATATGTTTTCCGATGGTCTTAGGCGACCCCTGTGAAAGGGTCGTTCGACCACCAAAGGGATCGCGACCCACAGGTTGAGAACCGCTGCTTTAATGTATTGTTTTTCAAAACCAATTTGCTGGAAAAAGTAGTGCTGGACAAAATATATGAATGTTACAAAGGCAGGATTAGGTAATAGTGCAAAGTCATGTTGACTCTAAAGCAAAGGGAGAAATCAGTTTATTTGATTCTTTATGTTGTTAAAAACTGAGTAAACTTTAAAGATCTTATTGGCTTTACACAACAATTTATGCATCAGACAGCATCCTGGCTGGCAGATGTAAAGGAGTTCACAGGAGCTGTGCAAAACGCAAGACTTCTTTAGGCAGAAGGGAGCGGGAAGAAGGAAGTTAGATGAGGCAAAAACGCCATCTGGTTATTACAAAGTTAGCTTCCTTTGGCAGGGGTCTACCAGGCAGATTACATAACCAGTGAGGGTCATGCAACTCGACTGACAGGCTTAAGAGTTTAAGATTCCATTTCTGGGAAAATCCAAACTCTCACTAAGCCTGGATTTGGTGATGTGAGGCGCGGCATAAGTGATTCTAGTTTGGGCCTGTGGTCTTGTTTTTAACAATTCCACCCTTTTTATCAGACTCTTGGCCTGAGAGATGTGATAAAAAAAAAAAAAAATGGAAGCCTTTAGCGCTACATCCAGCAGATGCTCTGGAATTCTCTAAGTCTGGTATGTACAGGTGTGGCATTTACAGGTCACAATATGGGGCTCACATTCTCCAAGTCATTCTCTTTGATCATTTTCTGACATTCCAGTCTTAGGGAGATCACTTGCTTGGTGGTTAGTGGCTACACATGTGTATTTATTTATTTATTTATTTATTTATTTTTATTTATTTTTTTAAATATATTTTATTGATTTTTTACAGAGAGGAAGGGAGAGAGATAGAGAGTTAGAAACATCGATCAGCTGCCTCCTGCACATCTCCTACTGGAGATGTGCCTGCAACCAAGGTACATGCCCTTGACCGGAATCGAACCTGGGACCTTTCAGTCCACAGGCTGACACTCTATCCACTGAGCCAAACCGGTTTTGGCTACACATGTATATTTAAAACTTGAGAGAATACAGCACACCAAGGAACTAGTATGATTATTACAAGCGGGTAATGCATTGTCCGTGTCTGGAATGCACTTTGGAGCTATGGTTCTCGAGACCCAAAGCAACCGGAATTAAATAAGTCACAGACTCCATTGGAGGAGTCACTGTTTTAACACCACCGTGCTTATGCAGTGATCTTCTGTAGTTCAGTCTCAACCTCCCCAGGAAGCGTCCGTCCAAGGGCCGCAAGTGATGTTGGCCATTGCTCTGCTAACAGATAAGCAGGGGCTGTCCTCGTATCGAGAACAACTTTGGCCACAGAGTCTAGGGATTTTGTGGGGCAGCTATTGCTTCAGCAGCAGATTCTGCAATATTTTCTTCTTCTTTTTTTGAACGTATTTTTAAAATCTTTTTTTTTTTCAATTACAGTTGACAGCAATATTTTCAAGAGTTTAGGACAGGCTCCTGATCATAGCCTCATTTGCACTTACTCTTAGCAAGGGATCTGCCAAAGGAAGTGACTTTTGAATTACGGATGTCTCCTGGTTATTCCCATTGATCGGCCACCTCCTGCACAGCCCACACTGGGGATCGAGCCGGCAACCTGGGCATGTGCCCTGACCGGGAATCCAACCGCAACCTCCTGGTTCATAGGTCGACGCTCAACCACTGAGCCACGCCAGCCAGGCAAAAAAGATATGTTTTTATTGATTTTAGAGAGGAAGGGAGAGGGAGAGAGAAAAGTAAACATTGATTGGTTGCCTCCTGTACATACCCTGACTAGGGATTGAACCCACAACCTGGG